TATTGAATGTTTCAAAGGTTTTTGTTTATTTATAATTATCATTTAGACTATTTATTCAGTATCAAGACAATGAATTGCAATAATAAAATAAACTTTCATTTAATGAACCCAGAGATCAATTGACTTTAATATAGAATTGAAAAACATGTTGACATTTATGAATACTAACAGTAAGAACATTCACAAAAGAATAATAATTGTTGAGAACATTAATAATGGTTGAAAATAATAGATTTTATCAACATTTGATATTTTAGATAACTATGATAACAGGTGTCCCATTTGATCCGAACTACTTTTAATTTAAATTACAAATATTTACAATTATATTATGGTAACAAAAACTATGCCAAAATATTGGAAATTTTAATATTTTATGTACGATTTATAAAATTTGCACAAAATGCCTACCCTGGTCATAATTTTAGTTTTAATGCATGCATGTCTATTTTGCGTAATACCATAGTAATACTGTACTACTGTCACTGAATGCTCACATCAATTGAATCAATGCTTGTGCTCTAAGAAATTCGCGATTTTTTATGCATAAAAATCAGACATGCATTCAGTAAAACTATAATTATGACCAGGGTATGAATTTTACGAATGTTCCGTAAATTGGACACAAAATATTAATAAATTTCCAACATTTTTGTGTACTTTAAGTTAACATAAAATAATTGTAAATATTTTTAATTTAAATTTAAAGTAGTTCGGATCAAATGGGACACACAATATTTAGATTAATTGATAGACCTTAATCTATAATTATATATATTCTTTAAATAATAAATTCTTTATTATTGATTAATATAAATGTACACTGAATAATTTGATATCATAAAATAGATAGTTCCTTCGAAACAGTTAACTTTTAAATTTCTGATTCAAACTATTTACATTGACTCTATAAAATGATACTGTATATGTCCATCACAAATATTCTCAAGCATTATTCATAAATCTATTAGATAACACTAAATATAAATCAAAATATACTGCAATAATAAATATTATAATATTATGTAGGCATATATTCAGGTATACCGTATTATGATATATTGTAAATCAATATAAAAATGTGTCACATTGTAAAAATAAATGAATTAAAATATAATTGTTATTAAATTGAATAATTCCAATCAATTTATTATTGACTTTTGGTTGAGTCCAGGGATACCCTCAACCCTAATATTTCACAAAATTAGATGTAGTGATAAAAGTGTTAATTTAATGACTTTCCTAACGGCTCACCCCCTGTGCTGATGGTGTGTCTCTAATATATGTGATATTTATAGTGAATAATAGACACTGAATGCCATAAAAGTAGGCAAACAAGTGATATGTAATCCGCGATTCTAATGAACAGATTATTTGTTTAACGATTTGAGTATTTCTATGGTTTATATGCAATCTTTCGCTGATAACTCCTTTATTTATGAATTAAATGTATAACAAAAATATACCCATTTATTGGCAAAAATTATCTGTTGGTTACAAATTAAAAATGCATTCAAAGGTTGCGCCGATAAAAAGTGGTCCAGAATTGCATGTATCGATTGAATGCACATTTCAAACGGTTTGGGCATTCATTGGACTCCTAGTGTTTGAGAGTTAGGTCACACTTGTGTCAGCCATCCAAACACATTCACAAACTATGACTTTGTTTGAATACACGGCAACCCCTTGTAGTAAAAATCATAGCATTCATTGGACAGAAACCCTGAAAGACTACATTGTAAGCGCTAACCCACCCCTCCATCAGACATAACACTATCTAAAGTGAAGCCAATGTGAGCCACGAGTGTGTAGTGAGTGTTGACTCACATAGACTTCAAACCATAACACAAGTGAATGAATACACAAATCAATATTGAATTGAATCGTAAACACAGTTCACGTAATCATATGATTTAGTAAACTATTGTCAACTCAAAGACATTGTAATAATTGTGAGCTAATTGTGATTATAATAAACGCACGGTTATAATGACGGCAATGGATAACAACCCTATGAGACGGCTTTCGTTAGTATTGTTTTGAACATTATTTATAAAAATAATGCAAATATTTATCACATTATATCATAACTAGTTGTATTGCATTTTAATTAACCCTGTTCACTAATTGTTGTCATTCAATTGGCATAACAGGGCCACCGGTGACTCGCTGTACATCATATTAGGCGTTCCCAAGACGGCCACCGGCGATGACATCAAGAAGAGTTACCGTCGAGTAATTGATTCATACTTTTACTGATAAATGCATTTCTGTTCAATCATTCAATCATTTTCTTAATTATTGTCATTTGATGACTAATTTTTCAATCACATGTCTGTCGTATAATATTACACTTAACACCAAATGCACGTGTATTTCATACATTTTACTGTTATGACAGCTTATTATTACCGGTAATTGTGTTGATTGTGACTAGGGTATACTAGACAATTAGGCAGCGGTGTGTATTTTTATTTGTTGTGCACACTAATGAGACAATTATCCAGTAATAATCTTAGTGTACTTATTATAGCAACTGTTTATTCAATCGATTTTTATCTTCAAAGTGTTTTTATTACCCGTAATAGACTTTATAATTTGTTGCTATTTTTCTAATTATATTTGTTTTAATAAATGCCATTCCCTTCCATCCCATAACCCATTCACTGAATGTTATGTTAATTTAAAAATGAACCCATCCCTAATATGTTTGTAATTTATAAAAATACTGTAACAAGAATTTAAAATATACGGTAACTAAAACATTAATTTTATGGGGACTAAACACTGCATATAATTTAATAGAGATTTACAAATTATTTACACCGTTTTCTCAGTAAACTTGACTGCTTTAATTGATGAGCAAAATTGCAAATTAATTGCTTTTAATTAATTTTGAGTCAATAATACATTGCAGAGTTTGTTAACATTTATAATGAGCTTATTTTTTTATGTCAATATTTAGCACACATTTTATAAGTATCGTAGTTTGAAAACCAAATCATTCATTCATTTATTAGACTTGAACATTAAATATTTAAAAGTTCCTAGTACAGACCTAATTATTTATATTGAGAAATTATGTGCCACTTAACATTCCGCTACTACCGTAACACAAACTACCCATACGGTCCATACCCTACCATTTAACTAACCAATTGTTAAAATGCGGGACTGGTATTCAATAAACTCTTAAACTAATAGATATATATATATTTGTATTTGTGGCACAGTTAGCCCTGCGGTTCCACCCGGACAAGAACCCGGATAACTTAGAGTCGGCCGAGAAGTTCAAAGACATCAATAGAGCGCATAGTATACTGTCGGACGTAACGAAGCGCAACATATACGACAAC